AAGAAATTGGGTTATCTAACAAAATACCGTTTCTATAAATAACCAAACGATTGACGTACAAAGATACGTAGGCTTGTTGACCAGAATATATTTCTGGAGATCTCATACGTTCTTATTTTGTGTTTTGTTTATTATTTTTAAAGAACTTGCGATATTTACCATCGATAAATCTTTTTCGCATTACTTTGCAAAAACACAACGTCGACGCGACAGACAGAGTCAAGGTGTCAAAATTCAGATAGCTTAAAATACAGAATTATAAATTTTATGTCAGAAATACTATTAATATTACATCATTATCATATTTAACACTTGTCTAATTAATTATTAAAGAAACAAAAAAAATAAATCGAATCTAACAGTATATTAGTTGCAAATAATAGTGATCCGATAAGTGCAGCACACTTTATTGACTTCCCAAACGAGAACTTTATAGTTCCAATTCTCTTCATAGATTCTCTAATTTTATGTCTTCTCATGTTTCAAATCATTTTTATTCATTTGACACCAAACGAATAAAAAAGACAAGGTTGGTAGTATAAGATTCTTGTATGTATCTCGTGAAAGAATTGCCTTGATTAGATTTACAAAGCTTTCGAGAAAAAATGCAAAGTTTTTGTCAAAAATATTGAACCAATTTGAAAATTCAAATTTTTTTGAATGACATCAGTTTTTTTTATCGATTTTAATGAAACTTTTGCATTGGAATAGAGTTCGTGGTGTTAACGAATGCCCTAAAATATTACATTCCTTTGAAATATTGTTTAATTATCAAAATTCCTGAAAGTTCATACAAGGTATTGATTGAGTAGCTTATTTGCATATATTTTGAAAAGTTCATGCAACTTGTTAAAATGACAACTTAGAATCTTATATATCAAATTGCATCTAGAAACAATAGGCTATTAGATGGGAACATTGTATTTTTATGCATTATATGAATATTTTGGCAGACTCGTCAAAAGTAGTAAACATTTGAGTGTCAATATATGATCAGAAGGTTTGAATTTGCTTCAATTTTTTCACAATTCAATTAGCAGTTCGAGACCTGTCGGTAAGTGGTTAGAGCTATGGGATTGGAATCAGAGGATCCAGGTTTCATATTCGCTTCGAGAATCTGATGTCATGCAATATGTCACTATAGGAATAGAAATATAGATAGCCATGTGTTTTCAAGTGAAAATGGTCCTTATCTGATGCATTGTTATATCAATGAAATTTCATCACTTTTACAGAAATTGTAACTATATATTCATCACATCAAATAATAATATAAAGAAATTATCAGTTTAAACATAACTTAGACTTTATTAAGCCATGAAACAATTTTCTAAACCAAAAATACTAAACTAGTTCCAAAAAAATTCAAACCAGATCAGTTGAAAATGATCACAGAATGTCAAATCTTAACAGAATGTTGAGATAGTATAAAAAGTTAATAATCGAATGAACCCCTACTTCATAATTAACAGTGCAAAGAATTGGCCCTGGGGAACATTCAACCAACTCTTCACACTGAGGACCAAAAAATAAAAACTGCAATTATTCATCCTCCTTATTAGCAACTAGCATCTTACCATATGTTATATGTTATATAAACATTAAACATGGAGAAGCATGAGTTCATAAAATGTCATTCGTTCTCGGTTTAAAGTCGAATATCAACTTGACACTTATTATGTCTCGCGTCACTCAATCGCTTTTTCAATTTTATTCGACACTTTATAGATTTAATAACATTGTATTCACCATCCATTATATCTTATAAATAGATGGCATTCAATCAAGCAACTTGCGTCATAACGAAGAGCGCGTCGTTTGTGAGCAACAATGAAAGACATATCGTAAATCAAATGGCTGTTCGACCCCTCAAACCGGGTCAAAACATCGCCAATCTCGCACTATCAGTGTTAATTCATTTCAGAGATTACTATCGCGAAGGAGATAAATGCAAATTGTTTGTGTAATAACCTAAATAATAGTCATCTAAACTCATAGTAGAATTTCGTTTAACATCAGAGACGTAGGTACAGGCCCCCGATAATCGTATGCAAAAAATAATAAAAACCTGCCAAATTTTACATAGGCCTTAAAGTCATCATCAGCAAAAATTGATCAAGCTTGCCAAATAAAGGCAAAAAGAGTGTATATTTATCTTAGGGGGCGTCCATTAATCACATGAACGATTTTTTTGACCCTTCCTCCTCCTTGGTGATACGTGGTGATATTCAAAATTACCATCCCTCCACCATCAAGCATCACGTGTAATTTTACTTACAAAATTACACGTGATATCTTACTATACCCCTCCCTCCCAGAGGTGATATTTAGTGATTTTTAGTCAATCCCCCACTCCCCCAAAAACCTCACGTGATTAATGGACCCTTATATTCTTTGTCAAAAATCTACTGTATCAATTATACGACCCCCCCTCTTTAAGATTTGTGATCAATTATACGCCACCCCCCCATGGCATCATTCCTGTTTAGTCAAAACCATTAAAAATTTTAAAGAAATAAATTTTTGGAAAAATTTATAATTAAAAAAATATCAATTTTTTGAATGTATTTTTTTTTTTTTTTTTTTTTGAAAATTGTGAAATTTCTTTGTGAACCCATTCAAATCGGTTGATCCATACTATCGAAAATATCTATGACATTTGGTTGAACCATACAAGTAAACTTTGAACATTATAAATCTGAGTACGGAACCCATAGAATTGGAAACAAATATTGTACTTTTTAATAAAATCTATATAAAATTTCTAATAATTTGATGTGCGTATATCTAATAAACATTTTTGCAAAACACATACAGAAACGTTTGAAACGTACAGATATGCAATTTTGTATTTTTTTTATTTTTTTGCTATTACTATAACTTTCCATATAGGAAGCTGATAAAAACCTTCGAAATTTTACTTAGAGACAAAAGCTTTAGAAAAACTAAAGTCGTCATTAGCTAAATATGTTTAAGAAAATCAGTTTGCCTAATAAAGGCAAAAATACTACATATGTTGAATTCTTTGTCAGAAATCTGCTGTATAAATTATATAGAGCTCTTAAAAATTTGCAAACAAAATTATTGAAAACATCCCAAATTTTACATAGAAGATAAGCTTCAGAAAAACTAAAGTGGTCATCAGCTATAAATGATTAAGTAAATGAGTTTGCCAAAACAAGACAAAAAGAATAAATATTTAATTTGATTTTTTTGTAAAAAAATCTGCGGTATAAATTATATGGAGCCCCAACATTCGTAAAGAGCAATTATTATATAATATCTGCCAAATTTTACTTAGATACAAGAGCTTTAGAAAAACTAGAGTCGTCATCAGGTATAAATGATTAAGTAAATCAGTTTACCGAAAACAAGGCAAAAAGAATGTATATTTATTTTGAATTTTTTGTAAAAAATCTGCGGTATAAATTATATGAATCTCCAACGATCGTAAGAAGCAATTATTAAAAACCTGCCAAATTTTACATAGTTATAAGGGCTTTAGAAAAATTCAAGTAATCATCAGCTATAAATGATTAAGTAAATCAGTTTGTTAAATAAAGAAAAAAAGAGTAAATATTCATTTTGAATTCTTTGTAAAAAATCTGCGGTATAAATTATATGATTCTCCAACGTTCGTAAGAAGCAATTATTGAAAAACCTGCCAAATTATACAAAGTTACAAGGGCTTTAAAAAAATTCAAGTAATCATCAGCTATAAACGATTAAGTAAATCAGTTTGCTAAATAAAGGCAAAAAGGTTGTGATAGTATATTTATTTTGAATTCTTTGTCAAAAATCTGCCCAATCAGTTATACGGGGCTCCGGAGGTTTGTATGCAAAAATTAATAAAAACACCTTAAATTTTACATTGAAGCAGATACTTTGGAAAAAGGTTTTTTCGAAGTAGTACTAAAATCATCATCAGCTATGGATAATTTTAAGTAAATCAGTTTGTTGGAAATGAATCGTATGTAAAATTTTTAGAAAAAGTGACAGATGGATTTCTATACTGGACCCCGCCAAAACATACTTGCATACTACTGTACACTTTGACATTAAACATTTTACAAAAAATTAGTATGCCTTATTAGAAAAAGTGTGGTTGTTTGACAATTACATGAAAATCGAGGCACCACAATACTTTTGTAGACATTTATTTTGGTAAGTGTAAAACTTTCAATCTACAAAGCTCTGAAAAATGCATTTCTAGTGATTTAATGTCTCTTAAGACTTAATTATGACATGTCACTTTATTTCGATTAATATCAACATAGTGAAAACATAAAATTGCAGGAAAAATGATTCAGAACATTTAAAATATATTTTCTAGGATGACAATACATCAAATCAAACCATTTCTTCCAAAATTATTATATCTTTTACGAGAGCAAAGTTAATATGTTAATATCTTGTCAAAAAATATTTTATATACTAATCTTACCTTGGTAAATTTAGAATTTTGATTGAGTTTAATAGTTTTCGACAATTCACAATAAAAACACAATAGTTAATTATCACTAAAAATAAAACTTTACAAAAACGATCTGGATTTGAAATGAGCATTTGACACAATAATAAACATGTTCAACAACTACCAACTTTAAAGTAGTATAAAAGTGGTGTCAGTGGTTTTGCTAGATATTTTAATATTAAAATCGACTATAATAATTTATAGAAATTATAGTTTATTTTATTTGAGAAAATATATCAATTCAGAACTATCTTTTATTATAATAATTAAAATGTAGCGCAAATCTGATGTTATTTTTAGCAAAGTTATGAACCATTTAAAAAATGATTTTGATGAGAATCAATATTTTCAATTTGATAAACTTGTACACCAGTTAAATTTCTAAAACTGTGTATGATTTTCAAATAATAAAGCATTACGATTAATAAAAATTAAATATTAATCAAAAAATTAAACGGTTTTCATGAGCTGCTAGATGTCTCTTCTAATTACATTTCTATGACATCTGTCAATTCTTGCATTGTGAATTTCGTTGTCACTAGATGAGAGTTATTCTCGCAATTGTTGTTATAAAACAAATGAAAATCATTTACAATATATTAAAAAAGTGAAATATGTTCAATATATATTAGTAATATTTTGAATCTGTGCACAAACGAGGTGAGCTGTTATTTTATTTTAATATACATATTGAGAAGAATTTTGTCGTCTTTGAGTACATAATTGATTCAGAATCTTTGATATATTTGTCATGGATGTGATTTAAATTGAAAATATTTTATGTACATTTACAAGAAAGATTCACAAAAAATAATAGTGTGTCTACTTATAATTTTGTATTCATCCTAACTTTATTTCGCATATTAAATAGGCAAGAAATTTCCATCATGGCTGTCGTCCAAAATTGCCAATCTACCTTTTTAGTAGTAGACTGGAAAACTTAACGAAATTATTGAAAATAAATATCTAAATTGCTATTTTATAGAGATCAGATATCAGATATTATACTCTGCACAAGAATCAGTGCACTTAAGTTAATATTGATGTACTGCAAATCTTGCAGTGTGAGCCATGAAAATCAGGTCATGTACTGAAGTTGGCATGTCTTTTAAAATTTTAGATCAATTTGATATTTAAAAATGGGAGAAACATTTTCAAAACGTGAAGATGATTCAGCTGAGGGACAATCTGAAGCAGTATCACGTTATCCAAATTTAATAGGAGACTCAAATCCTGAAAGCAATAATTTGGAATATCAAATGAATGACACAGAAATGGTCTCATCTTATTTGGAGCGTGATCTGACAACACATTATAATGAATGTAATATTTGTGGTTTAAACTTTACATCACGGCATCGGCTTAGACGGCATGCATTACTTCATGCTTCTCGAAGAATTTTCTCATGCAACAGATGCGAAAGTTCTTTTCAAACTATGACTGATCTTAAAATTCATATGAAGACTCATCCAACAGTGGATCATCCATTTGAATGCAATTTTTGTGATAAATCATTTGAGTGTGAAACTAGTCTCTATGATCATATGAAAGAACACTCAGGTGTATATATACACACCTGTGATATCTGTTTCAAAATTTTTACACAGAAGTCGTACTTCATGTGCCATATGTGGACGCACACAGAGGGTCGACCTCATAAGTGCCATTTCTGTGATAAAATATTTTTATTGCGCTCGAATTTAAGGCTTCATGTCAAGGCCCATTCTTATGAAAATGATTTTAACAGTGCATCTTCATCGCAGATCAAGGCTTCCTGATCTGTGTTAAGTTTTGATTACTGATAATACTTATCACAAAATTGTAGACTGAAGAATTTTTACTGTTCAAAGAAATTATTTATAAACTGGCATGTTATTCCAAATTAATGAGCCATATTTTCATATCATTTTAGCATAGTATTTTCATTATAGTTTATTTTATGAAGTGCAAGATTTCATTTAATTCATTTTGGTTGCTTAATTATTTATAAAACCTTAAATATTTATAACCATTCATTAAGTGATACTACTATTTTTGTTATATTATAATTAAATCTTGAGTTATGAGATGTCCATCTTACAAAATGCACATGTATACCTAGCTCTATCTTGATTAAAGCATCATATTAAAGATATGCTTGTGTTTTTGGAATATCATTTCGGGATTTTGTATAAAAAACATCAGAATCAATTTATTATGCAAGTTTTGATCTTCAAATAATAAAATAGTTCATTTTAATTTGATAGTCTTACCTTTTTTAAAGAACATTGGATTAACTTGATCACCTAAATATGTATATTGTTTAAAAATGCATAATACTTTAGACTTAAAAGTTTGTAGTTTTGATATTGGTTCATTGATTTGCCACTATTGCAATATGCATAAAAAATATATTAATAAAATTATATACCTATTTAAATGCATTTCTGTATTAATTTATATAATCAAATTTTGAGTATTAGTTACTATATATATAGTATGGATTGGAACTATATTAAATATTGCTTGAAATTTTAGTTTTGTGATTTTTGTAGCTTAAATATATTAAAGTTTCAAGACATCTTGGAACTAAATTATTCATATCTTGTTAGCATTGTTAGATGCCCAAATAAAATATTTAATTTTGTTGATTTTTTTTAATAGTATGATATTCTATTAGAATTTCTTCCATAGTGTAAGCTGTACTATGACATATTATGAGCAAAAAATATATATGTATCATTTAATAAAAATGCAATAATAAAATTATTCAGTGTTATAATATGAAGTAAAAATGAACCTCATATGTTCAATTTTGTTTGGCAACTTCATTGAAATGGTTTATAGAGATCCATTATGAATAATTAAAGTAAATTGAATTAGAATTGAGTTTTATTTACTATTGCAAAAATTATTTAATTATTTACTCCAATGTTTAATGTATTTTTTAAATGATACTACATTTATAAGATAATAATTCACTCAATGTATGTTATTTATCATGCACTATCTTGAAGAAGTTGGCAAATAAGTTTATTTGTCTTTTAGACATCTTCCAAGCACTATTATGAATATCTGTTTACTCTTTTCTGACATATGAACTGCATGTTTACCATTTAATAGAAAAATGTGCTTTCAAATTTCCAAAAGATTTTTTATTCACTGGAAACACCTTAAAGCAATACTATTTTGTTAAAAGATATCTATGTATAATAAATCCAAAATGATCAATTGAAAATGGAAAATAGTTAATTTAAAAGCTATAAATTAAATTATCATTTACAGGTTTTCAGGATAAAAAAATATTGATCAAAATCATTTTTAAAGGATTGTTGAAGAACTCGAACTTGGTTTTTATTAATAAAGTATTTGATTTTATCTACATTTTATCTTTTGCATTTTTGAAAAATAAAGATATTAATGCTATCAAATTTCTTACACTAATCAAACAATTATATACCCGTTTTCCAATCATAGATAAACAAGTATAAATGCGTGTAACACATCAATAGGAATACCCCTTCTGCAAAAATAAATGTTGGCTGCTTATTGGCAACTACAAAAGCATACAATATATAAAAAGTATGTAAAATAATTAATGAAATATATCTTAAAACTAATCAACCCGGAGTGCGTCGGGTCGAACCGGATGGCGCAGCACTTACTGCTCGGCGAGTATCTGCGCTTCTACTACTTGCTGCTCTATTAACTCTGGAAGGCGGAGCTGTTGGACGTTGCTGCCTCCAAAATTCTTGCCTGCCATCTAAAAAAGCGACAGCTTCACGCGCCAATCCTGTGAGGCGATCTGCGTCTCCTTGGCGCGATCGGCATCCGGGCACCATACTAAGGGATTTTAACATTTGATTTAGAAATCAATTTTATATATTATTGGCAAGAGCTGATTTCTTTCAAAAGTAAGATGTTTGTCATACCTGACAACAATGCTAAATAGTTTGTACATACGTTCATTTATATATTTAAAACGGTAGCTAAGATTGATGGCCAGCAAGGGGTTCTATTCTAGAGCATAATTTTTCAATATTTATTTTCAGGAATTTGTAAATTGTTTAAAATTCAACTAGTTGGTTTGGTATTTTACCTTGAGGCAAGTTACATGAACTTCCCGGTATGTGTGAATAATCGACTTAATCAATAAAAACTAAATTAATTTATGAGTGATTAAAAGTATTCCGAGTGGATTTATCACACATAATTAAAAACGAGCGCACACTTTAACACGGAGAATTTTCTAAAAGTAAATTTTCAGAAATCAACAATTGTTATAATTGAACCAGTTTCCATAGGACTTTAATGGCTTGATAAGTTCATTAAAACCAAGTATTCTATCGTTATACCAAGTAAAATCGTCCAATTTTAATTTTAACAAACGTTAAAAAAACTATACTCATTTTCTTAAACTTTGATGAATTTTTAAAATTAAACTACTTGTCGTAAGGTCGTAATATTTCAATAAGTTGTATAAGACCATGATATATATCATTAATAAAAGTTTCATAAAAATTGGCTCAAATTTTTTTTCAACAACGAATTACAAGAAAACGGCTCGGTAGATTTTCACCTAAAACTAATCAGTATCATTCCCAACTAATATCTTTCGAACAGTTTTTGAATTTTTAAAATCGGTTCGATAGTTTGAGGTTAAATGTGGACGAATTTAACACTTTCTTTCAAATTACAAAGAAACGGCTGGGCAGATCGTCTCACAAAACTGACAAACAATAGTCCTCATTGAGATACATCAAATGGCTTTTAAATTTCTGAAATCGGTTCAGGCGTTTTTGAGAAAACGTCGATCAAAGGTCTAATTTTGACAAATGCCAAAAAAACGAAACCAATTTTTGTAAACATTGATGAATTTTTAAAGTTAAACGAGTTGTCGTAGGGCCGTAATATTTTAGTATGATCTAGAAGACTATGGTATCTATAGCCAAAAAAATAATAATAAAAATCGTCGAAAAAAAATTTTTTAACACTTTATTACAAAAAAACGGCGCGGCCGATCTCTACCAAAAGCCAATCAGTATGATTCCCAACCAATATCTTTCGAACGGTTTTTGAATTTTCATAATCGATTCAGAATTGCGGGCTAAAACGTGGACGAAAATTTTTTCACTTTTCTGCGATTTACAAAGAAACGGCCCGGCCGATCATCGCATGAAACTCAGAAACGTTAACTTTTTTCTTATTTTTCAGAGAGGCAATAGAATATTATTTCAGAAAATTTATTGGGATAATTTTTTGCTTTTTTACCCAGGTATTTTCCGTAAAGCAGGATCTTTTAGCAGCTTTTCCAAGTAATCTCGGTCTTCATTTAGCGCAGCGCTAGGTTCTCTCGGTCTGCGAACACACGTTTTCGGTCGGGTAGGAAGACAGGCACTTGGCGAACCTCTCATGGATTCATCCAATCTCAATATTGGACTATCGGCATTGCTCATTGGATATTCAGATGCAAAGGCAGAGCTGGGCAATGGGGTTTCCATCTTACTTAACCTTTGTGAGTAGATTCACAAAGTTTACTATTTTCATATACTATAACTATAAATGAAGTGTATTAAGATCTTATTGTAATGTACCTTGAAGTTTTCTTCTTAGAAACGGCTCCTATGGTATTTTCTATAGCCTCTTGTGTTTTTTGAACTCCTAGACGAAATCCTTCAAGATCCGGCCTTGCTCTTAATCCGCGATGATAATACATTAAACTGTGTTCAAACTCTCCTAGATGATATAATGCTTCTGCCTTTTGATATACAGCCTGTATATCAGATTGTATGCAATATAATTCTTTTTTAAATATAAATTAAAGCTTAAAATAAGTAACATATAATTTTTCCCATTTTGCTCCATACTTTGTTACTTACAATTTATTTATATGTGCATAATACCTATTTTCTTCATTCTTTTTAGTGATGCATTTACCACAATAATTTATGCTAAATTATAATTTTAGAAACATTTGAAAAATGTGTTTTTATTATATTTTACCTTTATATAGTCTTTATGTAAAGCTAATGCAGCCTCAGCATCTTGCAAAGCTAATCGTGGTTGTCCTAACATCAAGTGGCAGCGGCTTCTGGCTACCAAAGCATTTTTCTCATCTGGATTCAGCTCTAAAGCCTGCAATTAATTACAGAAAATATAAGTGAATGTAGGTAAATCATTTGTGATATTTTCTGGAAATGACTATATCAGCAATTACGTTTTTTTATAATTCTGTTTAATATTTTTCTGCTATACATAATAACAGGTAATATACTATATAATAATACCCAAATACTATATTCAAACCGTCCAATATCTGCAATTCACCCACTTTCATTTATATATTTTACTTATGTAACTATAGTAAGTAAGTAAAATATATAAATGAAAGTGGGTGAATTGCAGATATTGGACGGTTTGAATATAGTATTTGGGTTTTATATATTTGGGCATTTGAGTTTATATATATTCACTCATTCATTCATATAAATTAACATTTTTAGAACAATAAATTAGATAACCTTATGATTAAAATTCCAGTTAACAGATGAAAATTTATGTAGGAAAATAGCATAATTATACAGTTTTGCAGGAACTAACAATGTTGTCGAAAACAAATATATTATATATGTTTATTAGGAATTAGAATAATTATTTGTTCTGTTGATCTAGCATTTTTCAAACCTTATCTATAAATTCTACTGCTACTTTCGGATTTCCAGTATTCATTTCATGTTTTCCAACAGCAATTAATGCATCCGCGGTAGCTTCTTCAGACATAGCTGAAGCACCTTCGCTACCTAATCCACGCTCCTCCCTAAAGTTATTAATAATTCTTTATAAATTTTAATTTGAAATTATAGTTCATTTTGGCCCATTCAACTATTGATTGTTTATTACTTCTTTACATTTTATTATTCAAAAATTTTCGTTAATATAACTATTGTAACGTAATTCACAATAATTTAAATTTGAATTTGAAATTGCATTTCAATATTCTATTTAGATCAAATATATTTGATGAAATACTTTGCCATTTAATACTAAACATAACCTTCGTCATTAAAAATATAAATTTGTATATCTACCAAATATTACTTAAAAATAAATCTAGGTATTTTCTTGACTTTTACAGTATCCTAGTTATAAAACTGATAACTTCGGTGTCAAGAAGCCGTTTAGTTTCATCGAATTACTTTTTTTGTAATTTAAAATTAAAAATATTATTTATTGTAGATCTTGAAAATACCTTCGTTTTTGTTTTAACGAAAGTTTGATATCTCTGGATCCCATATTAACAGCTGCAGCTCTATCTTTGTCAGTATACAGTTCTTCATGTTCAATTTTAAATCGCCGGGCAACTTTCTTCTTACCTTTCTTTTTTTTCTTAGATCTTTGAGATGTTTGACCTGCATCAGATTCTTTGTGTCGTGGTGCAGCTGATAACCTTTTTTCATTAAGATATAGAATAAATTCTTTACAAATATCAACCGATAAACTAATAATAATAAGAATATGAAAAGAAAGTACGACACAGATTCGTGTTATTCGTGTTCCATACCATATAAAATATTAAAATCTTCTAATACGCATTATTTACATATCTATTAATTATCTTAATCAAAATTCAAAATGTTCGAACTATTCAAAGTTGATAAATAAACTTTGTATAATTTTGTTTTGCTGATATGCTGGAATTTCTTTGAAACAAAAAAAATATAAAAATAAAAATATATAATTACAGAAACTCTGGTTAGAAATGAAATTTTTAACCAGGTTCCAAAAACGAATCGTCGAATTGTTGAATTGTATTTTATGATGAAAACATTAAGAGATCTGACCATGATCTGACTATCGTTATCTACATGTTTCTATTTTTATCTTTCTAATTCGATTATTTTCTATATATTTTAATTAATTATTTGTACACTGTAATTATTTTATTATTTTATATTTTTATTAAACCTGGCCAACCACAGCTGCCTTCATTTTTTATTGCCTGCTTGCTCTTCACGTTCATCTTTTCCCAAATCAATTCTGACAAAACTCTGCAAAAATTCATTTTCATGAGTTGCACCAAATATATTTCTGGATGCTAATCCTCCTATTGGTGCTTTTGATTGATCAACAGCCATGGCTTAGATTGTTTACAATTTGTGTTAAATTTTTCTTCACTAATCGATAATGTTTAGTCCTTATTGAATAATATTTCAAGCCCATAAATTTGGCAAATTGATAATATGCCCAATATTTTAATATATAATATGATATTGTTTATTACACAAAATTATTCATTAGGACTTGTTAGAGATACTGTATCCAATATTTTCAAATCGAATCTGCACTAATTATTAAATTTTTTAAGTATTTTGTAAATAAATTTTAAGTTTATTAATTCATATTCTATATATTTCTTGAAACAACTTAATTTATTTGAACTGTATTTTTTTCAGAACTTTTAAAAATATCAAACATACACAAAACTTCGATCGGTTCAAGTGCTTCTTTTTGCGCTCAATGTGAGAGCTTCTCGACACCAAAGCTGTCAGTATCCCAGGTAACAAAACACTTCAATGGAGAATCAATCTTTTCAGATATTTTTGAAAGCAATTGCTTCATCATGATAACGCAATATTAGGTCAATCATATAAAATAAAATCATATTTTTGAACAAAGAAACATGATAAAGAATACAGGTTACTAATGCTTCTTAATGAATGATTCTTCACACTTAGCTATTCTCATTATGAATTTATTTGATATTTATATTTAAATATTAAAGATATGAAAATATTTTTTTAAATATATTCAATAATACTCATTTTACCAAAAGCTTTTCTAAATATGAATGTAAAACATATACTTTTCAACATCCTACACAATAACAAAAAATGCTAAAAATTGACTCAAAAGAAATAAAAAATTTATAGATGAAAATTTACATTTAATTTATAGATTAAACATCTATCGAAGGTTTATAATATTTTAGAAAAACCTTTAATAAATCTTAATGCAAACATTCTTATTTCTATTATGATTACATTGATTTAGAAATGAATATATCACCTAGTGCGCGCTCTTTAATTATAATTTTCTAATAATTTTAATTTAAATAGTCTGTTATTACATTCATCATTTAAAACTAAGTTAATTATATGGCATCTTTTGCAGTACTTTATTCTGAAAACAACTTATATATGTCTCATTATAGCAACAAAATTATTAATTTAATAGTTTTACGTAAAAAAGCGCGTGGAACTTTTTGTTCGAACGTTTGTAAGATTAAACAAAGTTTTTTCATGAATTTTAAATTGTGAACTCATTTTATAAAAACTAGGATCCGCTTGAGTGATATTTTAAAATCTACAATCTGTTGAGGGATTTAAATATATAAGAATCTGTATGACTATACGTCATAATGTAGCTAAATGTAAATGTAGCTAAATTACAAGTATACTTATTATTAGAATAAAATATTTCTATTTACCATAAAAATGGTAAAACTATTTTCAATCTTCAGTTGGGAATTAATAAAAATTTTATAGAATTTTAATACAAGAAGCTTCATAAACAGGCATCTATCCAGATAATTCAAAGAAAACTAAAATATGTTTAGACATCCATGCGCTTAAGTCCTAATTTGACTCTTCTTCAGTGCATAAAAGCCACAAATTATTTGAATATATATATATATATATATATATATATATATGCAGTGGTGTTGTCGTGCCGGAACGCACCGGAACGTCGTTCCGGCAAATTAATTTTGGGCCGGAAATTTTTGGGCAAAAAAAATTAAAAAAAAAAATTCGCTACACGCAGAAAATGATTTTATAAGTGAATTTTATAATTTATAATTAATAATTTAACTAATTGTTATTAAGGGTTCCTATTATATGTGATAAACATACATATATATATGCAAAAAATGGGTTTTGTAATGATTTTTATTTTTTTTCTTTTCGGACGGAACCGGTACAAACATGAGAACCGGTTTTTGAACCGTTTTTTTAATTTTAGCGTTCCGGTAAAAAAATATTAACACAACGCCACTGTATATATGTATATATGTATATATATATATATATATATATTACCAAGTACAAATACCACCTTATATACTTATTGTTAACTAGTATATAGCATATAGAATTGATAACTCAAATTCATTCCGTTATATGCATGGTATACGAAAAGCAACAAGTTACTGATGTATTCGAACAGATGGTAGCACATATTTCATTATTGTATCAATTTTTAGCAAAATACAAGAGTGAAATAAATACCAAAATTTCGAAAATGGATTCATACATTAACACGTAGTATTTTCCAGTAAACTATGAACCCATAGCCCATTGAACACCATAATATTTAATTGTCTCTTTTCAAATTATTAACTAATTTTCTTAATTATTTAGGCAGGCATAAAAATATGATTTCATAACGACTTTCAAAACTTCTATTCTTCTCGTTTGTTTATCAACATGTAATAATGGCATTTCATTCTCATACTGTCAATATGATTGTTCGGCATGTTTTCAAATTCTCCTTGTTCGAAACGACATATTCCATTGTAGTATAACAATTACAATAAACATTCATTAGAAAAGAAATGATTGTTAAACATGAATTGTTATATAATAGAAACAATAGAAGCAGCAGTGTATTTAATAGCATTATTGTGTCTTATCGGTTTAGTTTTATTTATGGATTTATTACAAGCGACGCATCGATTTAACACGTAACAATTGCAATCGAACTCACCTGATTGTAAGCTTTTAAAGCTTTGTCATGATTCCCAGCTTTCGTGTGGCTCCCAGCTTCGTCGACTAGTAAACGAGCCTCATGTGTGACGTCAACCTTTTGGGACTGTCCGCTACTTCTTCTGTCGGGCATTTTTTTTCACTTTTCACATGGTTCTTTAAAAATCAATATTAATATTGATGTTAATCACTAATATCACTTTAACCAAGATTTTTTGAGTTCTTTTCACGTGTTTGCAAATGCATTTTATTAGTTAATTGTCTAATCAAAATCAACTCCAGTCTTTAATATGTATTAGAAAACTAATTTTTTATTAAAATTTATGTAGTAGTAGTTTAGACTATTTTAGGATTACCATTGCATCCGATATAGGCATAATGTTTGAATCAAACAATTATCATGTTGCGTTAATGATCAAAGTTAGGTTTTCAATTATACGCAAAGTTAGCCATATCTGATTGCCAATTCGTATTTGGATTAAAACATTTTAACGGCAGTTTTCAAAACTGTTGAAATTTAATATTATTTCAAACCAAGTGAAATTGATTAACTATTTGTGAAATTTAGATCATTATAATGGACTGACTAGTTATTTCGTAGCATTAGAACTTCAAATCATTAATACAGTTTTAAGAATGCTTTAAAACAAATTCCTGGAACTTTCCGTACAAAAAATTATTTTTTTTAAAAAAGATTAATTTTTTTTAACTTTGAAAGAATTAGATTTTTGAGAAATTTTTAATTTTTGTAAAAAAAAACTTTTGATAAAAAAACTTTTTTTTTTATTTTGATATATTTTGGAAATTTTGAACTTTTTTCAAAGCAATCGTACTGCTTTAGACGAGAATTTGTATACGCACACACACACACTTACATCAATTTTTTCTAAGGTATGCCAAAATGTTCAGAAACCTTTAAAACGTAAAGATATATAAAAATTTAATTTTCGTTGTTTGTTGCGATTACTATAACTTATCCTACGTGTAGTTAAAAATAAGATTTCTATGTATCAGTCCAAGATGCATCTCATTATTATAGGTTTTTTAATTATTATAAAGACAGGACAGAATTATAGATTTTAAGCAAATTGAACTGTTTGTTATTAATTAACTGTTAATTGGTTAATTGACTATTTTGTTTAAACGCAAATTATTAAAAAAGCAAGTCGGCTGAATAACACAATACATACTTAAATTATTATCAACAACACAAAATTCTGAAATAATCATTTTCACTTATAATTGGATACGATAACTTTTATATGACGAATAACTAATTTCATTGCATTTTATTGTATACTTTTTGATTATATTAACTCATCAAGGTAATATATGTCGATAAAACCAATCTATACTCTTATAAAGTAATTTTCTTTTATCCATAGTTGTTTTCTCAGAAAATGTATTTCCTCAATATATTCCTAGGGCAATTAGTTATGCATGAAAGATTATTATGGGCAAAGTTATAGGGTTGACATGGCACAGACTTGTATAAAATCTGAAGTTATGTTATGTGCATTTGTCACGAACCAACATTGAAATTATATTCATTTAAATTTTAAATATATTATTAGTATGGCCGAATGTGCTGGTGGTATATATTATGTGTCTATAAAGCTTTTAGAAAAACCTATATGTTATTTAATTTATTCTTGTTTTTATGATCAAATACGCACTTGCAAAAAAGCTATAGTTGTCTGTAATAGAAATTTGTATTTTTAGTTGGTATAATTAAAGTACAGTAGATATATTTGGTACAAATTTTTGATTCAGCAACTAGTGTGAGATAGTAGAAAAATTAGTAATATTTTGATAATGAAATAATTTAATGTTTGTAATTATTAGTCATAAAATCTCAAAATAACTTTGCAATTACTTATACATTTAGGCAGATACAAATTACATTCTAAAATTCAAAGTTTAGTCCAGGTACTACGGATAATTTTACATATGAGTACATGTATATTGTGTTTGGGATAGTTTTTACATATGAGTACATGTATATTGTGTTTGAGATAGTAATATGCATTTTTTAAATATATAATGAGTTTAAAGAGAGCGCATTATTTTTACTATCAATAAAATATAATCATCGAGTAAATTATTGCATTTCTAATTAAACAGAATGCAGTGGTATATTACGATATTGGTAAAGCTTCTCTATAATTTTTATTCCAACTGTTAGACTATCTAAATTACTAATTAGTACATTTTTATGAAATCATTCTACGAAATGTCGATAAAATCTTCTGGGATTTGATGCAATGTACCTATATACCAAATAAAATGCATCACTTAATAGACATTAACTAGCTTGTAACTTTCTGCTACAAACCTTTATTTATTTAAATAATATTTTATAATTTTATTTA